GACATCCTGCTTTTATAGACGAGGCTGTTGAGGTTTTTCAATGTCAAGTCAAATGTCACTTAGCTGTAAACAGCACAGGAACAAGAAGAATCCAGATTATTTCCCTCCCAATCTGGTATTCTTTCCAGGAGGCCACGTAAGAAGATTTTGAGAGCAGCAAGGCAGGGTAGGGGTTAAGAGCACAGCTTTGGAGGCTGGTAGATTTAGACTTAAATCTTGGGTTTACCGCTTTCTAACTCTGTCCCCTTTGACAAGATGCTTAACATCTCTAAGGTTTAGTTTTCTTATCTCTATGAAGATATTGCCTCATAGGGTTATTGAGAAAATTAAATAAGATACTGTTTCAAAATATTTCAGCATAGTTCCTGGAAAGAGAACTGCTCAATAACGAATTAATTCATAGTAGATCTTTGTTAATGATGCAGTCTAAATCATGTGGACTATAAAATCATTGGCTTTTAGGGCTGGAAGGCAGGAGCCCCACGATCATCTAGTTCCGTCTTTTTGTTTTACAGATAAAGAAAGTAACATCCTGGAGAGACCTACGGCTCCTCACTCCAGAGCCTAACTCATTCCCTGGGTTTCCCAGCTCCTGGGAGCTATATTCTTTGTGACCTTGTGAAATAAATGAAGCCAAAAGTGTTTGTGTATTTTTGATGAAACTACTTCTAGGAATGTTCTGGCATCTGGCATAAACCTGCCTTCTGTATAGATTATCACCATAGTTCTCTGATTTTTTTTTTAAACAGCCCTTAGAAACTAAGATGAGTCAGATAATGGCTTAAGAGAAAGTGCTATAATTCGATCATCCTAAACTCAGATTAGATTGACTCCTTGAGGTTTCTGCAAGAAATCTTAAGGTTTTACCATATTGTTCGTTTTCCTTTTTTCTAAGACCCTGTCTTCCCTAATTTTGCTTGGCTTCCTCCCGCCGTTCCCCCCTCAGTATGATCCAAAATAAAGTTTTTAAGTCTTAAAAATAAAAAGGACTTCTTTCATTTTGGATTTTGGTTGTCTTGATTATTAAAATCTACATCTATAGTGTTTCTATTATTTGAGGAGTCATGTGTTTTCAGAATTCATATTCTATAAAAGCAGTTCTTACTCTCAAGGAAAACAGTAGGCTGATGTTTGTGCCTAGAGGCATCTAGAGGAAATGCTTCAGCCCCTCACCTCCAGAAGCATTTTGCTTTCCTGTAGCATTGCACTACAGCTGGGAAATCACACAGGACGAGATGTGATGGAGTTTTCAATCATCAAGTCCAGACTGCAGTGTGGTGGGGATTCAGAGAAAGGAAACAGGAGAAGCCTACAGAGAGGAAAGGCATCTTGAACTAAAAAAAAAAAAATCCCAGAACGTGGCATATCACAGCAGAGGCAAGAAAGGCCGACTGTGACCAGGGAAACCAGGACTTGATGCATTGCAGTGTCTGCATGTGTACGTGTGTGGACACATACATGCATGATGTGTGAAAACTGAAGAAATCCTTCTACTTGTATCTTTTCCAGGCTTTTCAGTTTTCCCATTTTTGTATCGTCTCAGCAGCTCAATACAGATATTTTGCATGGAATAGATAAACTCTAACTTAATAAAACTCAGTTAAACTTAACTGACTTAAATTATATTTTTAGTGTATCAGTTCCCTGCCTACACACATGTACCCTGTGACTGGTGCTATTCATCCCTCTTGTTGCTAACAAGACAGCAGCATGTCCCTCCAGCTTGCCCTGTCGCCTAGGAGTGCAGGGAGATGTAAGTAACCCCCCTCCTCCACCTGCAGACCCCAGATGGGGAGTGGCCCCATCACTAGGATAAGACATGTTGCTCATACCCACTGAGCTGACAAGCCTGACTCCCATCTATTTTTTTCCCCTCAGTGCTTACTTCTTCAACTACACACATTATCTCCTAGGCAGTGTAACAAGTTACTAAAGGACAAATGTCAGATCACCTTCTCAGTACTTTATTTCAGATGAAGGTTATTAGGTAGATTGGGGGAATTAGGCAGACTTTCCAGAGAGCTCTACCCATACACACACGGGGTAAAAAAGATCATAAGCTCCCCTCCTCCCATGCATACATGCAGCCAAAGCCAGGTATGTTCAAACAGGTGTGTTTAACACATTTTCATCTATTTAAATACTTAAATATGCTGACAGGTATATTTAATGAGCCCAAATGTAAAACATTAAATCTTAGCTGAAATCAAGTCCAACTTGCATACTATAGAAATTCCTGCAAGTCATTTCACTTATCTGCCTAGAAGATAAACTATTAGGCAGAATATTATATATAGTTAGTATTAATCAAGCTTAGTGTCTAACATGTACGTTCACCAATGACAGTATTTAGAAAGTTGGAAAAGAATTGAAAACTTGAGGGTTTCTAGAGAAATCGTAGCCTAACTTGCAAGTAGATAGATAGAAGCATGTACCTATTCCTGTGTCTCTCACACACGTACTACCCACACAATTTTTTATCATTTTTCCATTGGGCTTATAGTTCCAACAGAGCAATTTATTTTAACCAAGCCCTGTATGACAGGTACCTATGAGCACCCATTTATTCCCTACTCAAATCCCTGAATAGTATTAGAAAGTTAGAACTATTCAGTTATCTGAATCCTTTGAATTCATTCTTTGGAACCTTATATCCTAGTGTCTAGATGTTTACGCTCATCTAGATAAAAAAAAGTATTTTGTTTTTTAATCCCAGCTTCTGCATGGGCAGTTCTTTTTAATTCGAAGAGTAGCAGGTTTTGGAGATCATTTAAAAGACTGACCAATTTTCTCAGCCTGAAATTAGTTAAGGAAGAACATGGAAACAATGTTGAGGATATCTTCAAAAATTATGGAAAAGTTCCCACATTGCTTTCCAATAATAAGTATCAATGAATTGGGTGTAAGAGTGGCAAGACTTGAGATCCACTGAGTTAACAATGTATCTTATTAATGAAATTATATTTCTCTGTTAATGAAGTTGATGAGGTAGGAATTATGAATAGATTTATAGAATATGTAAAAGAAGCGTTAGTTTACTTTTGAGGGATTGCTACCTATAAAATATGGCCATTATTTTCTCTCTTTCATTCTGTGGTATGCAGTTTCTCTAAGACAAAATTTTTTTAAAATATTTTCCCTCAGTTTTTCAGTGTCTGTTAAGTAAAACTGAAGCTTCTAGAAAATGTTTATCCTGTAGTTTTGTGTGCCTACCAATAGGCATACCACAGAGTAACCTTGAGGGACACATAGATCCTAATTTGAGAATGAAAAATGGATTAAGGCTCTGTTTCTCTGATCACCTGAAAAGCAGAATGGTTATCATCACTAGGAGGGAAGGTATTCTACATCAGGGACTCTTCTTTTTGCTAAGAGACCATTCCTTATTTTCTATGATACTTAGATCTAATTTGATGAATATCTGAAACACGGGACACTAGCATGTAGATACCAGTTGATGTATTTTCCCAAAGGGAACTCATCGTTAATAATCACACACTGTTTTGCTCTGTGAGACTGGGAATTTGTGGATTTCTGTCTGACCCTAATAGTTTTCAGCCATATTCAGAAGGCCGCAGGAACACTAGCTTCCTTGCTTTAAAAGGGGAACATCCAAGATGCTGTAACGTGGGTGCAGTCCCCCATGTATTTACATGGAAGAAGGCCACAGGTGTCCTTGGATGTCATCAAACATAGTGAGGAAACTGGTGCTGTGAGCAGCCCTTATTGTGAAGATGCTCATTTCTAATTGGGGAGAAAAAAGTGAGTTTCCAGACAACTCAGATTACAGTAGTACCCCCTTATTTGCACTTTTGCTTTCTGCAGTTTCAGTTACCCACGGTCAAGCATGGTCCGAAAATATGACATGGAAAAATCCAGAAATAAACAACTCCTAAGTCATGGCTCAGTGACTCTCCTTTTGACAAATCGTCAGGTCAATTAGTAGCCTAACACTATGTCACAATGCCTGTTATTCGCCACACTATTCATCTCAGCACATACACATTGTCTCTCACATCATCACAAGAAGGGTGAGTACAGCACAATGAGATACTTTGAGAGACTCCACATTCTCCTAACTTTTATGACAGCATATTGTTATAATCTATTTTATTGTTAGTTATTGTTAATCTCCCACTATGCCTAATTTACAAATTAAACTTTATCATAGGTATGTATGTATAGGAAAAAATGTAGTATATATAGAGTTTGGTACTATCCACGGTTTCAGGCATCCGCTGGGGGTCTTGGAAGGGATCCACCGTGGATAAGGGGGGACAACTGTACTCAAATATTTCATAATAAATATCACAGCGTTAAGAGTCCAGCTGACTACAGTGACTCAACTAAATGTTCACAGAAAATTAATATGTCACAGGAGTCCACAAATTACCTTCTAGCTTTAGACATTGATAGGATAATGCAGGTTAAGCTTCATATTATCCATTGATTATAACACTATATACACCTGGCTGGGAAGGGAGGCAGATAGTATTACATTTGAAAAAAAGCTTTTTTAAAATAACAAAACTACTTATTTTATATTTTAGAATTTTCTTGTGTTACCCTCAGTAACAGAACGAATAATGGGTGATGGTGATACATCCAAATGTATTAAAATTTATTTTAGAGCCAGAAAAGACCCAAAGCAGTCACCGCCATCTTGCCGTCTGCACAAACTAACCTACTTTCTGAAGACATCACACGGATTACATAATAGTCTCAAGCCAAACATTTTTATATGCACCCTAGTAAATTAACATATTCTTATACAGAGGGTGCCAAAAAAAATGTATAACACATTTTAAGAAAGGGAAAAAGCTGTATTAAAATTGTAATAATATGTACCGATAACAAAAGATGAATACAAGTCATGTGTATATATTTTTTTGGGCACGCCTGGTATTGTGTATTTTCTCCAACTATATCTATCTTTGCTTCATCCTTTTCAGTTGTATTTGATTCTGTTACTGAAAGCTTCCTGTCCTTTTCTGTTATAGGATTACAGCTGGACAGACATCCGCTGCCCCTTTGAAAAACGAAGAGATGCAGCATGCGTGTTTTGGGACAATGTAGTATACATTTTGGGTGGCTCTCAGCTGTTCCCCATAAAACGAATGGACTGCTATAATGTCGTGAAGGACAGCTGGTATTCCAAACTGGGCCCTCCAACCCCCCGAGACAGCCTTGCTGCCTGTGCTGCAGAAGGCAAAATTTATACCTCTGGAGGCTCCGAAGTCGGTAAGGACTTTACCCGGTGGTATTGTTTGGGGGTTGTGCTAGAAAGCGGAGCATTTTGGTTTTCATATTTAAATAAACAATTGGTGTTATTTGTTTGTCATTGTTTGACATAACTGAAATACATATGTTACATATGTTAGAGCCCATATCCCTAAACTCTTAACCTTACTCCTTTATAAATCATTAATTTATAAGAACTTCAACTTCCTAGATTAAGTTAATTGTCCCTTTTTTGCCATGTCAAAGCTTTCATTGATGCCATCTGGATTTTAGTTCTAGAGTAGTTGTTTTGGATGCATAATATTCTTTGCTTTAAAGATTTCAGAGTTTGGGTTTACTCATAGGCCCTTTCAGGCCACTTTACTAAATTCAAGCTTTTAAAATTTGTATTATCTTTTCTTTCTTTGTAGCAGAAAAAACTAAGAAGGGCCTTTTTATTTGCTTTATTCTTTATAATGTAATGACTGATTAGTATTTTATGCTTATTGATCAGGATGGGGTAGATATGAGTGTATAAACCTTTCTCGTTGATGAATAATAAGTTAGTGTCCAATAGTGGACTTTTGCTAAATGAATAATTTTTCTAAATGAATATTCTAGGTGCAGACTAGACACATAATAGCTTTTCACATGCTTTCATCTTTTTAAGTAATTTCTTTAGCTGAATAATGGGCTTATAAAGAAAACTAGGAAGACCAAATAAACCTAAGATATGGAATTTAAGTGTAATAATTAAGTTTCTTTATTTTCTCTGATGAGTTTTATATTAGCCCAAAGAATGTTTTACTTTTATCCAGCATGTTTATATAAGTTTTCACCACCCCCACTACATGTCAAATAAATAAAAGTAAAATTATGATTTCTTAAATATGACTCAAGAGGTGATCTTTTTCCCTCTTTAAAAGAATTCTTGACAGCATGTCTAATACAGCATATTTCAAATACAAAAAAATCCTAAAAATAATAGAAAACAACTGTTCTAAGGATATACTTTTTGTAGAAAGTATAATAGAACATTTATTCAGCATTTACTCTGTCACTTTTTTACTTAAGTAGTTTCTTATATCTGCTATATACTGTATGTTTCCCCCTAATGTCAACCAACTAAATCTACAAAATTGGGATTGTTTAAAAGTTAAAAAAGAAGTTATTAGTCATGACCACTGCTGCTTCTGTGTGTTACTCTCTGCTCCCTGCTTTTCATAGATCTTGGCTATGATGATAAGGGTGGTGGTGGTGGTGGTAGTATTTTTAAACATTGGCCAAGTCCGCAAGAGTGGGACATGAGACATAATTTAGTCAAGTTCTAACTTTTTTCTTGGGAAAGAAAAAAAGCACTCAATCTTTAATAATACCATTTCTAAAACTCTTTTTTTTAAAAAAGATTTTTATTGGGGAATTGGGGGATGGGAACAGCGCTGGGGAATTGGAGAAAGGGGAACAGACAAGTTGCTGTCCTTTTGTTCTTCAGTCTAGTTGTGGAGGACATTGCCTCACTGGCCCAAGTTGGCACCATCATTGCGCTCTTCCCGGGCGAGGCAGATCAGTCGCCGGCTTCTGGACGGCCGCTCACTGCGGCTGCTGGCCACTCACGCTGGCTGCTGGCTACACACAGTAGCCCACTGCAGCCTATGCCGTCGCAGGCGACTCATGGCAGCCCAGCTCCAGGTTGAGCTGTTGTTCAGCATCTTAGTTGTGGAGGGCAGTGTCACTGGCCCTCATGTGGGATCCGAACCAGGGTCCTCTGGCATCCTAAGCCAGTTCTTAACCATCACGCCACTCGGCCGGCCCCATTTCTAAAACTCTTTATTGAGTTTCTATAACGTGCAGAAGCTGCAAAACAGAATGAATGCACTCGCATGTTTTGTTGATAAAACATATAATCAAAGTACACCAGAAAATACAATGATGCCTTGAGAGTGTCCTCAAGAATGGACCAGCATGGCTTCAGGTGTGGAGCCACATAGCCACCGAGAGAAGCCAGGAAGAGTAGTTTCGTTAATGGTGCAGTGGCTGTTACAGAATATTAAACGATAAGCCTCAGAATATGATAAGAAAGAAGTTTTCATAGTTTAAGGTATGGATTTACCATCTGTAAATAGCTATGCTTGTTCCCTCTATATAAACATTTTAAGTTTGGGTAATTCCCATCATGCACAAGTGGGCTTGAAGACATACATAAAGTCTCTTGTTTTTCTTTTTCTCAAGTGTAATTAACCAATAACTAAGTCTCTCCAACAGATCCTTTTCTGAATATTTTCTAAAGGTCTATACAAACAGGGTTAGCTTTTTCTTAAACCATCCATGCATTTTGCTGTTGTTATTGATTGAGTACAGAACAGACTCAAGAACTCTAAATTCTTCCCTCCAGCGACTGACTCAGCGCTATGGTAAGCTCCTCCAGGCCCCCACACACCACATTAAGCACAATGGGACCCTCTTCTTTCACAGGAAACTCGGCCCTGTATTTATTTGAATGCTATGACACGAGAACGGAGAGCTGGCACACGAAGCCCAGCATGCTGACACAGCGCTGCAGCCACGGGATGGTGGAGGCCAACGGCCTGATCTATGTTTGTGGTGGGAGTTTAGGGAACAATGTTTCGGGGCGAGTGTTGAACTCCTGTGAAGTTTATGATCCTGCCACAGAAACGTATGTATCAATTTAAAACTCTTATTTCACAGTTAATTGTATTCTACAAGCTCAGTGGGAGCTTCCAAAGGCAGAAGGAACCCAACGCAAGAATTTAGTTCTTGTATTAAGGATGCGCAGACACTTTGTAAAAATGTTGTTTTCTTCTTCAATAACAGTTGACATCCAATAATGGATTAGTTTCAGGTGTACAGCACTTACATTTTTTAATGTGCTTGGGCGGGCGCATGTCTACAGCCTGGACCCTTCCTGCACATCTTAGGAAATGTTTTTGGTTGATGGCCATGGAGTCCCCCTCTTTCTGTTTCTGCTTGTGCAATAAATACACTGAAGTGCTGAGACTAAGAAATCGCTTGAAATCATCAAATTTACTACTACTTTCAAAATGTACCTTTGTACTTGCCAGGGCACACTGGGGATTCCCCTTATCCTCATCCTATCAGCCATCAATTCAGCTGTCTGTCACCCCATCTTGTCCCACAGCACAGGAGGTGGGTGTACCAACTGTCCTCTCCTATATGTCTCTACCTCCTGTGATTGCTATACTCAAAAGAGTGTTACAGAAGACGAGTTGGAAAACTGTAGTCTCAATCATCCTGCTGCCTAATTCTTTTTTCATTTCTAAAAAAAATCTCTTAAAGTAAAACCCATACCATATAAACTCCAGGCTTCCAAATTTTGAGATCTTTGTCCAGGCAGTATCAATGTAAATCAATATATTATTGTTCATAGTAGCAGAGAAAAAGTATTAAAGGAATTCTTCAACCTCAATATTTTTTAAAAGTAGGTGAATATATTCAGTTTGGGGAATATTTTAAAACTTACACAATTTAAAATTTCTTCAATTTTGTATACATTGAGCTTATGTGTTAAATTTGAATTCTCTATATTCTCTTCAATGCCCTTAAATCTTCCTGAGAAAAGCTAGTATAATTATCCAAATCTCAAAATGAAAAATAAGTTATAATTACTGTGATTTCCTTTCTAATACGTGATCTATCCATCCAAGTTTTAAGAATGTTTCCTCCCAGCTTTGACCATTTTCTCAACTGTTTTGTAACTAGAATGTGTTTAATTGGAAGCTAAGAAATGAAGCCTACACAGTCAGAATTTTAAGTAAAGCTTTCAAACACTGAACTTCAGGTTGGGGAAAACAAGACCTACTATGTGAATTACAACAGGAAGTGTGTTTTGCGAAACTTCCATAATTGTAAACATTCAGAAGATTTATATGTACATAAAAACATGCTCTTTTATTTCATGGACATATTTGGAGAAGAAAGGGCTAGAAATATTAAATGTTTCCAAGTCACATACTGTATTTAATGCGCTTGGACAGGTGTCTGTAAAGCTCCCTGCGTGGAGAGGCAGTGGAGGCCTCGTGTAGCTCTCCCTCTCCCCGCCGTATGCTGGTCTTGTCACCTGGACGAGCATGTGTGTTCATCCTGAAAAACAGGAGCAGCGTTGCTCACCTCACCTTACAGAGTGTTCTGGAAGTGAGCATGGTGACTCTCAAACCATTTTTGAAAAATACATGAATATAAGGCAACAAAAGTTGTTAATATTTCATAGTTAATCATTATGCCCTAATTACATTTTTTGGAAGCTTAAATTTACTAAATCATTTCAAAGAGGTAGAAATAACCATATTGGAGAGTTATGCTTATGCCACATTTTCCTTTTGTTGTTGTTTGGAGTATTTCGGTTTAAATTAACTGTTAAGAGCACAAGTGTGTGCCAGTACCACTGTCACAATCACAAATGACAGTTGTGTGTATGGGAGTGTGTGCAAAAGAAGGAACTGGATCTCGTAGAAAAAATAGCTAAACACAGTTGTCTGTGTATGTGATGCTGCTACCTAGCATTGATACTCAGTCTCAGCATTTGTAGTGATGGCTGGGAACACAGCAACATGCTAATAAGTTATTAAACTTGACAGAATGAGAGTACTTTTGTTAACTAGAGCTCCCTAAAGTTCTAAGTGTAGATTTGAAGATAAACATGAATAGTAATGGATACTACTAATTTGCTGATTGCTAGAGGCCCATGATCAATTTGTGTTTTACTAACTCATCCGTAAATATTAATTAAAACCACGTGACAGTATTAGTGCTTTATACTCTCTTATGTATCTTTCCCTTCTTTTTTGTTACCATTTTAACAAGTTACTATGGATCACAGGAAATGGGTTTCTTCCAAAGATGTGTTAATAGTCTCCAGATAGCCTCTATATCTCATATCCTATTGGAATTGAAGGGAATAAAGTCTGTATTTACCTCACCTATCAATAAATTACTCAAAACCACTGTTAAGCTTTTGTTTTTCTAGCCTTCCAGACATATGTGTGAGTGTGCATGTGTGTATATTAATAGATATGCGAGTGGTAAATGAGCACTTAGTTAGGATAACAGACCTTTCTTATAAATTAGTATGAGTCTTTTTACTGCCTGTGAACAAGTACACTAAAAACTCTTTTATTTTTTCAGATGGACTGAGCTGTGTCCAATGATTGAGGCCAGGAAGAATCATGGACTGGTGTTTGTGAAAGACAAGATTTTTGCTGTGGGTGGTCAGAATGGCTTAGGTATCTGATGTTAATTCACTGTTCAACATTCCCAATGAGTTTGCTTATATTTCCTTGTCTTAAATTATTGAAACATTTCTTAAAATCTGGATACAAACATTTATCACATACATCATTCTGCTTATTTTTATAGTTTCTGGAATCTAAAATATTTTATGAAACATTGGAGTATGTTTAACATCTGTGTCCATGAAATGTGGGTAATGGCCATCAGTCATTGTGACAATCTCAGAGGGCTTCCACACATTTCCAAATATCCCCTGGGGAAAGATAGCTTAAGAATTATTGAGTGACAGAAACATCTGAACTTCAAAAAAAAACTTCTAAAACTTTTTAAATACTGGCTTTAGGACTTGTATCCAGGCTGTAAATGGCAGTTTCCTAAACATTTTTAAACATTGCCTGAAAATATCAATATTACTATTTTTTAAAAGTCAATTTGACCTTTTTATTTTCTTAATAATGTATTAAAATCTTAAATAATTGCTTTAAATAATGGAGACTCAGAACTGAATCTATAGATACTCCACAAACCTCATTTTAGTCAGTACCTTTAAGCATTACTTAAGTATAAAAAGAAACAATTTCTTTCCCTTTTTCTGTCTCTACTCATTGTTATTATCTATAAGCTTCTGAAAGATAAATAGCAGAAGGACATATGAATAATTACAATCAAAGTTAATCAGAAGAAAATCCACAGATTGGTTTATTTTTTTATTTTTCCAGAACAGACAGAAAATATTTAATTTTGTAGAATATAAATACTTATGATTCTAAAATGACAAATAAAAATTAAATTTCTGTTTTGTTAAAGTGACAATAAGACTTTAATGGTAGATATGTGGGCATTCATTGTAAATTTCTTACAACTTTTCAGCATGCTTGAAAATTTTTATAATAAAATTTTGGAAAAATGCAAAGAATTACTACTTTAAGTGGCCTTCTTAGAATGGTTCATCTAGTTGTTCATGTTGTTTTATTTTTTGAAGGTGGTCTGGACAATGTGGAATATTATGATATTAAGTTAAACGAATGGAAGATGGTGTCACCGATGCCGTGGAAGGGTGTGACCGTGAAGTGTGCAGCGGTTGGCTCTATAGTTTATGTCTTGGCTGGTTTTCAAGGTGTGGGTCGATTAGGACACATCCTTGAATATAATACTGAAACAGACAAATGGGTTGCCAACTCCAAAGTCCGAGCTTTTCCAGTAACAAGTTGTTTAATTTGTGTTGTTGATACTTGTGGAGCAAATGAAGAAACCCTTGAAACATGAAAAATGCATGAACTTCGAGACTCATCGGAGACTCAGAAATATGGCCACCAGAGCTTTGTTCCAAGAGTTTGGTTACAAAGTTTTAGTTTGGCATTTTCTTTTTTTTAAGGAAGTTTCAAATAAAGAAACATCCCTATAAAATCGGTGTTTTTTTAACATGGGTTTCCTTACTTAATTCAAAGACCATATTTTAGCTGGCCACATCACCAAGAACATATCTAGCAAGAAAACTTGAAAAATTATAAGCATTTGATGAAAATACGAATTCTTAAATGAATGTCACACTTGTAACTACGATTATGACAGAGTGGGGGATTGGCTCATTAGTGAAGCAGTTATCTTAGCTCTAGATTCTATTTTCATATCACAGAAGTGCTATGGCATTAGATCTGATTGTTTCAGTTCAGTCAAGAACTAAGACACAGTATGAATTATAAGTCAAGATAGGCAACTCCGATGGAGCAGTTTAGTCTCACATAATTTGTCTTCATGTGTCCCATTTAGTGCCAAATTTATTCCATTTTAAAAGCAAGGCAGAGTGAGTCAAGGCATACACACACTCTCTCACAAAACTTCATAAACATTTTGGAATTTAAAAATGTACCAAACTCCTCATGAAATATATTCAGTCCAGTTAAATATATTCCATCTTTTAAACCCAAAATACCAAGCTTATCACCCATCATTAGTTTGTATCACTGTTTTACCTAGCGCTTAAAAAATTATTAGGCTCTTCAGTCCTCGCTGTTACATAAAATCCAATCATAAGAGTGACTGACTAGCAAAAAATAAAGCTATTTATAGCAAATTTATAGGTCACTAGAATCGCCCTGTTATCCAATATCAATGTTGACTTTGAACTTCTTATGAATTAAAATGATACATGATTTCTTTTTCTTAGCAAGACACATCAGAGGTATTTGACCCCATTAAATCTAAGTTTTGTAATAATTTGAATGAAATATTTGTCACCTTGTATAAATTGCTTTTATGTGGTCAATAAATCTTTTATAAACTCATCTGCTCATTTCTTTCCTAGTAATGTTTTGCCCTTTTACATTATGGAATGTGTGGAGTGAGCCATATAAAGCTGTCACCATCAATGTTTTTATCTGGTAATATTAAATATTTTTTAACTAAAATTAGACTGCTAAGTTTTATTCTTTATTTTAAATGTGTTATGTAATGATTGTGTTGAAAATTTATAAAGCAATGTTTCTATTTTAATTTTCATTATTTTCTTTATATGGAAGTTTATAATCTAAAAACCCTAAAAATGTTTAAATGAAAAAGGAATTATAAAAAAGCATAATAATATATTTCTGTGTAGGGTTTTTTAATGTACATAACAGCTATATTGAGATATAATGTGCATATCAAACAATTCACCATTTAAACTGTACCATTCAGTGGTCTTTAATATAGTCACAGAGTTGTACAACTGTCACCACAATTTTGGAACATTTTCACCACAAAAAGAAACCCCATACTTATTAGCAGTCACTCTCCATTTCCCCCATATATTAACTCCCTATGGCTCTGTAACAAATTACCACAAACTTGGTGGCTTAAAACAACAAAAATTTCTACATCAAGATGTTAGCAGGGTTGGTTCCTTCTGGAGGCTCTGAGGCAGAAACTGCCCATGCCTCTCCCCTGGCTTCCGGTGGTGGTTGCTGATAACCTTGGCCTTCCTTGGCTTGTAACTAACTATCTTACTTCAATTACTGCCTCTGTCTTCACATGGCCTTCTTCCCTGTGTGTCTTGGGTTTCATGTGGTGTTACAAGGACAACCATCATTGGATTTAGCCCACCCTCCCCCCAATTCAATATGACTTCATCCTAACTAATACATCTGTGAAGACCCTATTTGCAAATAAGATCACATTCTGAAGTTCTAGGTGAATTGGGGAGAGACGGGGGACGGGACATTATTCAATCTAATTAGATCCTCCAAACACCCTAGCCCTAGGCAACCATTAATTTTTCTGTCTCTAGATGTGCCTGTTCTGAACATTTTTATGTTTGGTTTTGAATTTTTCACTCCATTAAAAAAATGTGTCCAGTTTGATTTTTCTGAGAGCAGGATATCCATGAATCATACTACAATTTGGTTATATTATTTAATACAATAATCTACCATATGGTATATGCAGCATTGTTTTAAGACATTATAAATAGAGTAGCCTTTTCTTTAGGGTGTATCAACTCCCTAGAACACACTATAAAAAGTATGTAGACAGGTTTGATGTAGGTTATAATGAAGTGGGAGTTTTTAGTAATCTTAGTAATTCCTAATTGGTGACTGTTTTCTGCCTTGGAAATATTTTACAAAATTGTTGATGCCAGGATAATGAGTAAAAGTACAATATATTGGCAAATACATTTTCTATTACTCCTCCCCTCAAAAAAATTCCTATTCCATAAAGTATTCTGTGTTCTTTTTAGTAGATATGTTATATGTTAATGTTATATTCTTTGCAGTGACAGTGTTTTGAAGACACAGCAATTTATACTTTTGAAACTCACAACTTGAACATGAAAGTTTAATGTCTGTCTTGAAAAAAGTTCTTGCTATAAAAAACTATAATTACTTAATTACAGTGTGACCTTGCTTGCCAAAACCTGACACATAGTCTCATGGAAAATTCTGAGTCGTGAAAATGAACCATTTAATAAACAATTATTCAAGCAAGCAGTCTATATTCCTTTTGCCTTACATACTGTAAACAGCAAAAGGTTTGGATTTGCTGCATAGGCCAAGGTAGATATTTGAAGGGAATTTTGGTTTTTACTGGTGGTACTGTTAACATATACCAACAGTCTCAGATAATTGAATCCACTCCAACATAGCACCAAACCAGCTCTAAGTCCCAATATGAAAGCACATTTTACAGGTTGCATCATTCAACACTTAATAAATCCTTTAAATAGTCCCCTCTCTCTTTACAATTGCTTCAAAAGACTTCAAAGCTTGGATCGACTTTCATCTTCCCAATTTTCTCCTTCCCAAGGTGATTCAAACTACTTCAGGAGAAATAAAAATAAAAATTCTGTGCTGGGAAATTGTCTAAAATGTTATTCTTAATGACTAGAAAGCTCTTTACTTTCCAGAGCTTTAAGCCTCTTCTCATAACAGCTGTAAAATGGGGTTTAAGACCTGGTTTATTCAATTCTTGTAGGGGATTTCCCTGACTCTATCTTCCAATGCTCTATTGAATTTGTTTCCACTATCCATGTTTAATTTTCAACAGTATTTTTTTTCAATGATTGTTCTTTTATATAACATGTTCGTGTTTCATGCTACGCTCTCTGAAGATATTTTAGTTTCTTTTAACATTTTCTATACTCCGTGTGTTTCCTCTGCCTTTTTTTTTTAATGTTTGCTTTGCTCTTTACTGTTAGAGTCATTCCTCAAATATCTGATCCCTGGCTGTGTTATTTATATTTAAAACGAGACACTAAGAAGTTAATAGGTTGGGGGGAGGCAAAGTGGGTCAAATATATGGTAACAGAGGGCAGCTAGACTTTGGGTGGTGAGCACACAAAAGAATATACAGATGTTGGGCCGGCTGAGTGGCGCACTGGTTAGGAGCTGCCTTGGGATGCTAGACGGCCCCGGTTTGGATCCCACATATGAGGGCCAGTGACACTGCCCTCTACAGCTAAGATGCTGAACAACAGCTCAACCTGGAGCTGGGCTGCCGTGAGTCACCGGCAAGGGCGTAGGCTGCAGCCCCTGCTGCAGTGGGTTGCCATGGGCTACCGCGTGTAGGCAGCAGCCAGCGTAAGCGGCAGTCCAGAAGCCGGCGACTGACCTGCCTCGCCCAGGAAGAGCGCAATGATGGTGCCAACTTGGGCCAGTGAGGCGACGTCCTCTACAACTAAACTGAAGAACAAAAGGACAGCAACTTGTCTGTTCCCCTTCCCGCAATTCCCCAATAAAAATCTTAAAAATATATATATACAGATGTTGAATTATAATGTACACCTGAAAATTATATAATTGTATTAACCAATGTTACCCCAATAATTTTTTTAAAAGATTTTATTTGGGAACTGGGGGTTGGGGAACAGCCTTGGGGAATCAGGGAAGGGGGACACGTAGACCAATTGCTGTTTTTGTTCTTCAGTCGAGTTTTGGAGGACGTCACCCCACTGGCCCATGTTCGCATCATCACTGCGCTCTTCCTGGGCGAGGCAATCGGTCACTGGCCATTGGTCGGCACTCACAGCAGCTCCCGGCAGCTCACACCAGCTGACGGCCGCTCACGCTGGCTGCTCGCCACTCATGGTAGCTTACAGCAGCCCACTGTAGCCCAGCTCCAGGTCGAGCTGTTGTTCATCATCTTAGCTGTAGAGGGCGAGCGTCACTGGCCCTCAATGTGGGATCCGAACCTGCTGCCCAGAGCTGGTGCTCCCAAGCGAGCGCTTAACCAGCTGAGCCACTCGGCCGGCCCCCCAATAAATTTTTTAAAAGTTGATAATTTTTGTGTACAAAGGTGGTCTTAATTATCAGTGAACTTCATATGCTGAGGGAATGGCCACTTATATTTGTTGGGGATTATAGATATTTGGGAGGGATGTTAAATTCTCCAGAAGATAATCTTACAAACCCCTGCCTGTCCCTTGGGTGGGGGTGGGCAAGTTGGAAAGAGGGACTACGCCTGGCTGCAGGACTTCTGGAGCTCAGGCAAAGGGGATTCTGACTCACCATTCAATAAGAGTAGCTTAGTCTCTCTAGTCAGTACCATAATTTGCCTCTCTATACTTGATATCCTGGACTCAGAAGGCTTTCATTCCTTTTTCAAGAAAAAAACCTATCTCGATCAGGTAGGGATAGTTGCCTCACTGGGTGGATTTATGGAGCTAGTTTCTACTTGCACTTTACAGAGATGTTCAAACAATCCACCCTTCTGTGGTACCTGTTGGCTCTTAATTCCTTTTCAGCCTTCTCTGTGGAAATCAGTGTCCACCTTAAAGGAATTTGACTTTCTTCCTCTCTTCTAAGTAATTTACTATTTAGTCATCTTCCATGTGCATTCAGCCTTCAAATATTATGTTTGAGATTACGATTATCTCCTAGTATAATCAAAGATGATGTTTTGGCTTGTTTTGCCTCTCATTTTGATTTTCAAGAGGAAAAGAAGGCAGAAGTATTTTAACTCTGCCATCTTGAAACTGGAAGTTTCCTTTGTCTGACCCACTCTCCTGATTTCCACCTACCCCTCCCCTAACTGATCACTACCCATTTCTGCATGCCTCAGCCCTAGGCTGTCACCGTCATCTCATACAGCACTCCACCTGGATGATGTCAATCAGGATTCTGGCCTTGCCCACCTCTCCACCATCACCAGGCACCCTGCTCACCTTCATTTAAGCTTCAGCCACCACTGGTATTTTAGGTCTGGGATCCCAGGAAAGTTCTTATACATGCTGGCATTTGCATGGACAAGAAGTTATTGGCCACAATGAGAGATTGGTTAGTACAAGAGAATTGCTCAAAATAAATATGTTAAGAACAATGAGCCATGTTTCTCACTATCATAGAAGGAAGTTTGAAAGACAGGAGAAAAATAAAATGAATCCTGTGACCTTGGGTTGGAATTGGAGGTTATCAGTGTGAACTCATAGTTTTTGATATAAAGATACAGAATTATGTTTTGATGTAGCTCTGTGCCTGTCTAGAGCATATTTTCCTTAACAATGCCCATGAAAGGGCTTGGGAACAAAGAAATCACAATAGCAATGAGCAAACTTGGAGCTCAGATCTTGGCTTCTAAGTACCACCAAAAAGACCGAGAGCCCCTTGGAGAAAGGGCTGACTCCAGGACTGCAGCAGGAAAAGTAGAAAATGAGCCTGGAGCATCTTTGGGGCCAGCAATTGAAGAAGTGCTCAAAGAATCATGGGATATGTCAAAAGGACAAAGCTTCAAGTGGCTCCCACTGGCCAAATTTGGGATGATTTGAGCATCAAAATAAATAATGATAGAAACAGATTATAACCCACTGGAAAAAAACGGAAAACCATGAGTCCATACTGATAGGAATAAATGAATGAACTAAAAAAATCTGGTAAGGAATGAGATTTTTATATACTTTCAAATGATCTCCCCACAAAAATCCTTATTAATAACACCACAGGTAATGGGACAAATTGAAATTGTGCACAATCTGACAGATGCAATGTGAAGACCACAGAATCATTTCTGTGATACTTCTGCCTAAGATGCATAATCTGAACCCAATGATCACCAATTTATCTGAAAACAGATAAATGTGCATTGAGGAACTTCTACAAAATAACTTGCTGTAACTTTGAATAGTGTCGACGTCAAGGAAAGACTGAGGAAATGTTCCAGAATGAAGAAGACTAAAGAAATACGACTAAATCAATAAAGATTCTGAACTTGATCCTTGTCCTTTAAAGGACATTATTGGCAAAACATGGATTTCCAAAATCTGAGGATTAGATGATAGTAACGCATCACTATTAATGTCCTGATTTGGGTGACTGGATTGGATTGTGCTTGTGTAAGAGAATGTCCTTTTTTGTAGGAAATAAGTATATGGGTGATGGGGCATCGCGTCTACAACATAATCTCAAATGGCTCAGGAATTTTTTCTTTGTATTCTATTTTTAACTCTTCCATAAGTTTGTTTCAAAATAAAGGAATTAAGCTGATTTAAAAAAATAAGTTGCACTAGTTATTCCCAGTATTCCTGTAGATTCCACTGTCCTCAAAACCCAAAGTAGGTGACCAAGAACAACAGTCAATCATCCTAAACTACCAAGGACAAACCTGTAATCCAACAAAGTCAGATATATTGATTCGTTGCGACCAAGGAGACTGCACACCATTGGAACTGCAGGGTATCTCACCATGCAAAGAAAAAGAGTGTTATTGTAGGATTTGTGAGGAAGGTGGATTTCAGGTAAAATTTAAAAACAGTATTGATAGGCTCAAAGCAAAGCAGAGCTATGTGTAAAGGCATCAACATCAGATCTGGACTGAAAAGTGGATGTAGGGTCATGTTTCCTTGGCAACTACAAAGTTAAGAAAATACGGAATGTTGTTTTTCAGGAACCCTTCATCTGAGCTCCGCTCCTGGGTAAAAATCGAGACTGCTTCCCCTTTTCAGTGTCTCAGATCCTCCAGGCAAGAATAGGATGTTTCATTCCTACTGATATAATTTCAAATAGCAACGTTTATGTGAAGGAACAAGGTTTCTCAGTGTGTAAGAAAGGAGTTCTCATCCACAGATGGGGAGGTGGGAGGGTGTTATACTTTTCAGTTGCAGTCTGTCCTTAAATGAAACATTGTTTTCCTGTTAAGTTGCAAGCTGTCTTTAACTGACACTGACAGTTACCCATCCTGAGGAATGGCTGGGCAGACTTACTTTATCAGCAGTCACAACGGCAAATACTACTCGATCTCTCAAACCAAAGCTAATCCTCCTCTCGCGGCCTTGCTGAAGTTCTGGGTTTGCTTGACTCGCTTTCTTCTCATTTCGATCTCGAGCCTCCCTTGCACCCACAGGAACCGCACCAGGGTCAAGCGCGCTTCCCCAAGGAGCCGTTCAAACCTTCCGCCTTCCTACGTCACACGCTCAGTCCACGTGGGGTGCGGAGGGGGCGGGGGGTGCTGCTCTTCTCAACTCCTACTGGGTAAAACTCACGCCTCTCATCGCCCGGGGGCAGAACCAGAGAGAAAGAGCCTTTCTAGGCGCGATAAGATGACGTCACAGAAGCAGGGCCGAAACCATCCGTTGCTTTGGGCTCTAGGCTCGCGGATATCGTCTACCTCCGGGTGGGAGTCTCCGTGGCAATGACCATCTGTCAGTTCTTCCTTCAAGGCCGGTGCCGCTTTGGAGAGCGGTGTTGGAACGAACATCCTGGTGCCGGGGGTGCGGGCGGGGGACGGCAGCAACAGCCCTCAGGTGACGTTGCCCTCAGTCCTTTCGCCACTGCTAACCGAGCTGGGGAGGGCTTGGCGTGGGGGCCGGCCGGCAGGGAACGGGCGTCCCGCGTGGGGGTCGGCACAGCGCCGGGGCGCACCGGTCAGGTGACGTGGACGTGCCGGCGTCGTCCCCCTCGCGGTCCCTGGCCACCGGGCCGGGCACACAGCTTCTCCCCGTTATCACTCGGTCGGTTTTTGTTGAGCGGATGAAGGCAGGGACTTGGTTCTGGATACTAATGCCAAACAATGAGTTTTAAGTCGGATGTACGTGTAAAAACGGCCCTGTCGGTGGGGTGGCAGTGGTTCGGAGAATTGACATCGGGCGACCCAGACGCCTCCTTGCTTTATTAACTTTCAGGGTACTTGTGTTTTTCCCTTGACTCCTTGAATACAATTTTTACCAAACTTTTTTTCCGAGGGAGAGGCTAGCAACTGGGGTCAGAGTCAATACTCTTAACTTTGGGGGAGTCGTGAATTCCTTTGGAAATCTAGTAAAAGCTATAAAGCCATTCTTCAGACAAATGCGCATGCTCATAACATTTGGGGGTAAAATTGGGGGGATGGGACGCCCAGTTGAGAATTCCAGGCAACGAGGGAACGGGGTGTGAAGGACCATATTGATCTGCTTCCTGGGACTAAGTCATCACGGATGGTTTTGCAATATCGAATTAAACCAGTTGTGGGTGATGCAAAAGGACTGTTCAAGGAGAGGAGGGATCAAATATGAAGCCATAATACAACACAAGTGCTTAAAGGTGAAATGAAGAGGTTTTATTTTCTTAGGACTGAAACTTAGTCTAAGGTATCACAAAATGCTGACCCCTTCTCACCATATCCCCTCCTCTCCTACTTTAGGGCTACTCATCTGACCCTTAAACCCTGTGTGACACCGTGGTTTCACACCTGATCCCTCATCTTGAAGACAGTGTTTGCATCACCCACAATTGGTCTAGTGAAATATTCCAAACCAAAAATTAGGACTCGGGGTCTAATGTGAGCGTATTCACAGGAATAACAATATTATAGTTGACGTTATGTAGAAAATCACACATGCAACAATTAGAAAATGAATGTTGAATGGATAGGTTGATTGATGAAAAAAAGTGTAACTAAAACTCATCAAGTAAACAGTGTATTTAGCTACCAGAAACAAATGAGTGCTGATGGGATTGTTAACAAATACGAAGGCCAAAAGATATATACAAAAGATGGAATGAATTCCTTCAGCTGTGTCATCCTCCAAAGGATTTGGAACTTTCGAAAAAGAAAATAACATCAATACCGTACTTGAAGGATCTGTTCCAGCAAATCTCTTTGGTGTTAGTTATTAAGTCATTTTAGGGTTGGGAGTTGAATTTTCATAAAGGAATATATCTCCCGTCACTCCAGTTTTTAATATATTTAATGGAATACCTCTTAATTTAGTCAGAAAAAAGGTGAATTATCTTGGCCCCAACTTGGAAATCATGAATAATGAGATAGTTGAAATAAGATTTTTTTTTTAATGAACGCATATATACGATAGAAAGGATAGAGTCCTGTTGGCTCATTTTGATAATTATGAAATATTAGAAATCTCACAATAGAGGAACTCAATGCACTTATTCATATATAAATTACCTTTGTAATTTCCCTATGAAAGATAGGTGGGTATGTGTTATTTTCCTAGAGGGAAGACTTAGTAAAAAAAATTTAAGCATTTATTCAAGGACTGAGGGTAGAATCTAATTTTTTATATTCAATAAACTTCTTAATACAGTCCCCACTTTTCAGACTTTTATTACTATAAGGGCTCAGCGGGGGAGCAAAGAATGATAAAGATACAGCTTTTTATCCTGAAGGAGCTTATAATTTAGGATACATGCCCTCTATCCACTCCACTATCAAGCAGTTGTTTACTTAATAAGCTTATGTCAGCTGAACTTGGTAATATACAGTAGGTGGCAAAAAAATGTATGCACATTTTAAGAAAGGAAAACTATTAAAATTGTAATACTCAATATATATCAATAACAAAAGATGAATACAGGTCACATTTCACTTCTGCTATTACAAGAGGTGCTCAAAGTGGTTACCATCAGTGTCCAGACACTTCTTTTTTTGTTTTTTAAAGATTTTATTGGGGAATTGGAGGGGAACAGCATTGGGGAATCAGGAAAAGGAAACAGACAAGTTGCTGTCCTTTTTGTTCTTCAGTCTAGTGGAGGACATTGCTT